TAGGAAAAGATAGATTCACAACTACACATTATAGTGAATTTGCAGAGCAGGAGGTGGAAAGACAAAACATTTTTTTTTTTAAGTTTCTATTAAGGTTACCGACAAAGAGTATTAAACTTACAGCAAACTTTCCATCATCAACAATTGATGCCAGAAGCCAATGGGATTTTATCTTATTACTGTTTGAATTGCAATTCAAGTGTAAAAGTGAAAGGAAGACATTTGCATGGATATCAAGATGAAGTGAATTAACTACCCACAGACCCTCACAAAAAACAATAGAGATAATGGCTTAAAGGGAAGGTAAATTCAGAAGACCAAAATAGATACACATACAAGCAAAAACTACACACATTATTATAAAAATTGGTACGATTTAATGACTAACTATAAAATAACATTTATTTTAGAGAACAATTCATCAAAGTAGCTAAAAGAGTGGTAGTGTTTAATAGTCAATAAAATATCCTAGGGCCCATGAGCTATTTGGAAGACAGAAACACAAAAGTTATTTAGTAATCTATGTAATTAYGAATGTATGTTTAAAAAAATAAAGGCAATCACTAAAGAAAAAGAAATAAAGCCTAAGTTTATAACCTAGCCAGATAATTTTTTTAAAAGGAAAGAAACTTTAATAATTCAACAGAAAATAGAAAAAAGAAGAGAAGCACAAGTAGATGAAAAAATATAAGCCACCATGGTAAAAACAAATCCAGGACACATCAGCAACCTATTACAATACAAATTTTCAAATGAATCTTAAAACTCTAGTACTGTACTACCAATCTGTTCATTTTTACCTCTCCTCTATTCTCCTATAGTTTGGTGAAAGAGAGTGTCATGGTTTTGATCTGAAATATCCCCCTYAAAGCTCTTGCAATGATTTGGCCTCTTACCTCATTATGGATTAATTCATTTGCTGGATTAATCCATTGATAGCTAATGGATTCTGGCTAGTGATTTCARGGGGTATGTGGCTGGAGGAGGCAGACTGCTGGGGATATGATCYTGGACTATATTTGTACCTGGCGCATGTGCACCGTTCTCCCTATGTATATCTCTCTTTCTGTCTCTGCTTTCTGCTCCCATAAACTCATGGGCATTTCTCTGCYATGCCTATSCACCATGATGTTCTGTCTCACCTYAGGCCCAAAAGCAATGGAATTGTCTGACTATGGACTTAAYYTCTGAAATTGTGAGTCTAAAATAAAATTTTCTTCCTCTAAGTTGGTCTTGTCAAGTATTTTGGTAAGAGCAATGAAAAGCTAAYGAACAGTGAGAAAACCAAAAGTAACAAGGAAATTAATTTCTATGAACCAGACAAATAACACTAGGTAAACAGTACCATTTGTGAATTCCTCTTGARCTCTCAGCTTCTTTCGGACTTCTTCAGTTTGCCCAGTTACTGCCCCTCCTTCCACATACCCAGTTTATGTTCCATATTGGTGTATGCAGCTATGCCTTTCACAGGACAKAGGAAATTGATTTTCAAGTGACCTTGAGCCTTAATGCATACCAAACACATCTCAGGAAAGATGAGATTAACAGCAGATTTTTAACTCTACACAAGGCCCTGSCCCTACCCTCCTGCTGAGGCACACCAGCCAGAGGTGTGGTGAGGCCTGATCCTCCAATATTGACCCTCTTAAATCCTATTACAGAATCTTCAGAGCTTCATCCCTTGTTTAAAGTTAAAAAACAGCATTTACTCTTATTAGTCCTAGCCATAAAGACAATAATTTTTTAAAGCAGAGAYCCTGATGATCGATGTCAGTGATGTTATACTTAAAACTTATTCCTAGTATCATCACAGATCCATAACAGGGGGAAGCATCATGATTCTTGGTTATGAAGCTAGTTTAAGYAGAGAGGAGACCCAAAAAAATCTAGGTACCCAAAGCTTGTAACTCAATAGTGATTATAGACTTTACAAAGGTGTTTGCCGCATTGCAAAGACACTCCTACAGTCTAATTCTCAAAAGTTTTTTTTTTGTTTTGTTTTGTTTTTAATCTCTCCCTCTATGGGCTTCAGGTCCCTGTGTCTTAACTGCAGTTCTATAGTTGCGGGATGAAAAAAAAATGCATCTCTTTAAAAAGCTGAAGAGGATAAAACCACTCCCCTCACCGCCCCACCATTCTGCACATGTGTATGCAAACATACACACACACATACACACACAGAAGGACACAGTCTCCTGCCTACAATACTGTGGCAGACTTCCTGAAATTTTCTTCTTCCTGKACATTTGGAAATTAACTCTAGTACAAATATTTGAACTCTACAGTTKTTGTGTAATTATTTTCTGAATTATGACCTTTTCAATATAACATGTGTAATAGTAAATAAAATATATACAAATATATATATATGTAACCTTTATGTATAAAGGTTATATTATTATATTACAATATATACCACATTCAGCTGCTTATTTAATGACTGATTGAGTCCTGAAATTAAAACGATACTAATTAATTAATGCTATTTAATTAAATTAATACTATATTAATACTATCTCTGTGTTTTAGCTTTTATTGCTTTTGAAATTTTACCTTAAATAGCTTAACTCTGTAATTATTCAAAACAATCTGTTATCTTTCTTTWTCTTATTTTGATTTTAGGTTTTAAAATGAATTCACAATAACTAGACACAAAGGATTGTTCAAACTATGATACACTAAAATTGAGTGCTTGTTATTTTACTGAAAATGTTTTTATCTTTAGATATTATTCTGAGCAGTAACTGCTGAAAAATGTGTGAGTGCTTCTTTAGTATATAAATGTGTACTTAGATCTGAATATGCTCAGGAGTAAAATTGTAATTTTAATTATTGTTTTAAATACAGTTTTATTTTTAATCAACATATGGCAATTTGACATATTTATGGAGTACAGTGTGACATTTTAATTCACAATCACAATGTGTAATGATCAATTCAGGGTAGTTGGCACATCATCATCACAGATATTTGTCATTTCTTTTTGTTGGGAACATTTAAACTATAATGACTTTAATTCTAATATGAATGACAGATATATTACTAATAAGCAAGTAAATTTATCAGAGATGCATTTAACTGAATAGTGAAAGAGCCTAATAAAACTGTTTGATAACTAGTTTACAGTCAAGTAGAATTATGTGAACTTCCTATATAACCTTATGTAATTTATTGATCATAGAAAGAAAGTAAGGGTAGAAATATTCAACCATGATTTTTTGTTGTTGTTGTACTTGCCAATTCCATTTATATACAGTACTCAACCGTCCAAAAGTAAACAATGTGCTGCTTGCATATACAAACATATTTGGTAATTATTTTTAAAAAACATATTCAGTAACAAAGGAATGATACAAAAAATATGATAATGGTTTCTTGGGATGGTGATGAGGGCCAGGAAATGGATGAGATGGGAGAATGGTGTTTACAAATAAAATCATAGGAATATTGCATTTCTTAAACTGGGTTGCAAATAAACATTTGCTTTTTGAAGTGTTGTTTTATCATTTTTGGTATTTTATCCATATTTCACATGAATTTTTTATTTATATATAACAGCAGAATGCATTACAATTCTTATGACACATAGAGAGCACAATTTTCATATCTCTGGTTGTATACAAAGTATATTCACACCAAYTCATGTCTTCACACATGTACTTTGGATAATAATGATCCTCACATTCCACCATCATTAATTACCCCATGCCCCCTCCCCTCCCCTCCATCTCCTCTGCCCTATCTAGAGTTCGTCTATTCCTCTCATGCTCCTTCTTCCTATCCCACTATGAATCAGCCTCCTTATATCAAATAAAACATTTGGCATTTGTTTATTTGGGATTGGCTAATTTCACTTAGTATTATCTTCTCTAACTCCATCCATTTACCTGCAAATGCCATGATTTTAWTCTCTTTTACTGATGAGTAATATTCCATTGTGTATATCTGCCACATTTTTTAATCCATTCAGGCATCTAGGTTGGTTCCACAGTTTAGCTATTGTGAATTGTGTTGCTATAAACATTAATGTGGCTGTGTCCCTGTAACATGATTTTTAAGGAATTATTTTTCTTTTTTCATGAGCTGGCAACTCCCAYAGAAGAAACCAGAAATTGTGTGGTACAACATTAGGTACAGATATATCCTCTCAATGTATAACTGATTATTTTGAGAGTGAGACAAGCATCAGAATAGCATTAAGAACTTTAAGATATGTCAATGTTCATAATGCGGTCCTTACTGCTATGTAATTTTGTCAGTTTTAGATTCAAAAGGGGCATTAGCCAAGATGGTGACCAACACCCTTGTTTGAAAAGTCCAGAAAGAAATTCAAAAGGGGAAGTGATTTGTCCAAAGGGCTATCTAGATACTACCTAAAATTCAAATACTACCAAAACATCCCTGCCTCTAATCCAGAGCTCATTCCATAAAGTCACACGGCTTTTTAATTAAGAAGTTGTTTTGAAAATATGACTTTTTAGGTGCCACCCAGATTTATACACAAACAAAAACATAACGTATCCTGAAAATTTTCCACAACAGGACAAATATTACACCCAGGAAGACTGAAGCATTTTCTTTCTTAAGCTATCTTTTGTGCTGGAGACAGGGGTAACAGAAAAGGAAAAACATCTTCTCCTTGAATTAAACAGGTAAAATTCTAAAGATTAGGGTACCCTCTAGATGTGGAAGCCAGAAACAGAGGACTTGCAACACACAGAGTACCTGGCTCTTTTTCATGCCACAGACCACGATCTTTAGCAGTCTGAATTATAAAATCTTTATAATAGCGCTGAAAACTGGATCCAAAAACACAAAATAACTTAAACTTTCAAGTTGCTTCTTTAGAATAATGGCTTGTCCATTATCTCTCAATGCCAGTTTTCTCTTTCTCTCTCTCTCTCTCTCTCTCTCTCTCTCTCTCTCTCTCTCTCACACACACACACACACACACACACATACACACACACACACTCACACACACACTACAAGGTACTTACTGAGCTGTAGAGATAGCCTTCGCCATTCATGGCCACATAGAGGCTGGCTTTCACCCCTTGGATGGCCACCACGCGCAGGCCCACAGGAATTAGATTGAAGAGGGCTAGAGTAACAAAAAGAAGACAGACAAGAAAGGGTCARTGACCTTTTGAATAAACTGCCTTGCTACTCTCAATGATTCTTTTGAAAACTGAAGAGTTAATAAAGAAATTTGGTAGGAAAAAAAAAAGAAAACAAGAGAGACAGGGACAGAGACACAGGCGAGACAGAAATTCTAAGAACAAGAAGAACTGGTTTATTCTCCTCTCATCTCTGACCACCAATAACTGCCCATATAACTTCAGGTACCTTTTATAACTCATCTAAAATAAAGGGGTCAGATCAGAAGATCTCTAAGGACCCCACTTGAATCTAAACTACTAGGATCCCTGCTCCTCACAATGAACACATCCCTAAAAGGAAACGGAAATAGGCTTGTGCTCTCTAAATATTTGAGTTGCCCATTGCTCAAAAAAAAAAAAAAAAACAAAAAAAACACACAGTCAGCACTCCATATGTCCACCCAGAGAAAAAATTCACACACCAGAAAAATATAAAGCAGATAATCTATGTTTCTTTTAACAAGGTATTGCTATGAATTACATTGCTGGCACTATTTCAGTTACTTTTGAGACTACAAAATGAGCATAAGCAGAAAGCACTACCCCTACTCTGAAAAGATTTGCATTACATATAGGGAAAAAGCCATCATATAGTTAAGCTCTGTAGGTGGTATTACAGATATGAATTAAATATCTCATGACTGCATGCATAAGTGAATATCTCTGCAGTTCACTTTAATATCCTGACTCAGTTAGAAGTCCTTATCCKCCTTTTCTATTGATAAAATCCCCATCAGTTTTGGTCTTCTCAGTTTTGAATATAAGATGCACATAAATTAACATAAAAGCTACCATTAACCAGGAGTGCTTCTTTTTTCTGGGTTCTCTCAACTTGGGATAATAAACCACTTACACACAAACACACATGTATAGATGCACACACACACACACAACACAACACAACACCGTATTTGTATTTCAATCAAATGTTCATTTGAAAGTTTTAGAGGATCAAGCCTTAGACCACACATTCCGTGTATCAGGATTTCCTTGCTAGCTGTCCTTTTTGAATTAGGATCTTTGGCTCTTTGGACTTGTTTCCTCATTTGCAATAAAAGTGCAGAATACATCTTAGAAGTTGCTTAAGGATTAATTGTAGGCTCAATTTAGATTTGAAGTACTTATTTTCGTGTTCTTTCCATTGTCCTTGTGCTACTGAAATTGCTTAAGAATTATAAGACCTTCAAATCTACTTGTGGAGGAAAAGCTAAGACATATGGAATAACCTGATACAGTGTATAATTTACTTCTATAATTAAATGTAATATATGCATTCTATATATATATTTCTATTTTCCAGAAGTTCAGGGAAATGGAAGATCTGCATGGCCTCAAGTACTCAGGAAATGCTTCACACAGACTGGGGACCTGAGTTGACACTTGGGGCAGAAGTTGAGGGAGCAAAGAACAGAAAGACAGTTTAGTGGGGCAGGAGTTTTGCAGACTTGTGGATTTGTGCAGGAAATGATGGGCAGGTTGGAAGCTTCATATTAGGGAGAAATGAGAAGGAATGACATATAGATAAAGTAAGGATAAACAACTAAGAGCCTATTCCTCTAAATGTAAAGATTTAGACTTTGTCAAATGGGCAAGAAGATGTGTGACCTATAAACACTAGAGCAGCAACACAGATTTTAAAATTGTGAAAGATTTGTAGATAACATAGTTGCTAAACAAACCTCTCAGAGTGAKGGGACTTTGAGCCATTCATTTAATCTCACTAACTTAGGTTTCCTATCAGTAAAATGGGCAGAGTTTGCTTACTTTTACTGTATAGAGTTTATAGAAGAACCAAATGCATTATCGTGCTTCCAAAAATGTTTTATAACACAGATGTGCCCTTTATAAAAAAAAAAAAGTTGACATTAATGATTGCTACTTCTGATTGGTAAATAAGGTTATCATGAGATTAATGTAAAACCTGATATATTTCATCAGTAGTATTTTTGAGTATATATTCAGCAACTCACTTAATGCTATAAAAGGGAATAGTTTATATTTGTGCATCATTTAATTTTCAAAGTGCTGATCTCATCAATTGTATTTAATCCTCAACCATAAATGTTAGGGAGAGTTTAGGACAGAATAATGACTRCTATAACTTTAGAAGAACAAACAGATTCAGGGAGGTAACTCAGGTAAAACCCATGCCTGAACAAAGAGTTTTTAGCTCTCTAAGATGCTTATGTTAAAATACCATATTTTATCCTCCTATCCTCTTAATTTCTCCAAACACCTATTCTTACTTTCTCACAAATAGATGATTTAGCTAGTTTCCCCTACATATTCTATAGCTAAAGGTAGCTCCTATGGASTCAATACTGACCAGTGAGATGGGTCTTTAGAACTCTGAAGAATCCCTCCTTAAATACAGTTTATAAGCCAGACATGGTGGAACATGCCTATAATCCCAGTGGGAAGTTGAGTTAGGAGGATCACAAGTTCAAAGTCAGTCTCAGCAACTTAGCCAAGCCCTAAACAACTTAGTGAGATCCTGTCTTAAAATAAGTAAATAAATAGGGCTGGGATATGGCTCAGTGGTTAAGTTTCCCTGGGTTCAATTCTTCACAAGGTTATACTGTGTAAATAAAAGCAGACACTGGAAAATATCAAGTTCAATGATAATTTTKTGAGAAGGGATAAGGAAATCTAAAATTGTGTCTAATGTCTTTCTAAAGGAAATACTTCCCTGGATAAATCATGGAGCTGAAAGAGAAAGAAAAAGCAACTCTAATGATTTTTCTATGTGAAGAGTTTAAGGAAGCTACTAAGGTTAGTCAGGGATAAAAACAAGAATCTGTGTGAAAGTTTTATATAAAACACAAGGTGATAATGGCTTTCAGACTCTGTGCTTCAGGGAGACTCACCAAATTCTCTTTTAAAAAAAAAATCAAGCAAATAATTTGAAATGAGACTTTTTARTAGAAAAAGATGAAAGCACTTCTCTTCAAGGGAGTCCTTATCTGCTTCTTAAAATGCCCCAAAGTGGCCAGGGACTTAGTCTAATCTATTCTTTGTCTCCAGTGTAGCACACTCTGTCTMTAGCTCACAGAAGCTAGAGACAATTTTATTACTCAAGGAGAACTCCTCCTGAGTCAGGTGTCCCTCTTTATCCTGAATGCCACTGTCTCAGCAGSACACAGTGACTGGACTACTTGACTCCACACCTCCCATCTACTCTCACCAGTTCCCTGCCAACAAGCTCTGGAGATTCCTCCTTGTCCACATACCCTTTGTGACTTGGCACCAACCCACATTTGCAGCTTATCACCTGTCACCTTTTTCATCCATCCTAACTAGCATCAGAGAGCATTTGCTGTTTCCTAAGTTCCCACTGATTTTTAACTAGGCTTGATTTTTGTCCCCCTATCTCTTTCTGGAAAGTCTATCTTCCCACTTGAAAAGGAGTAAACTCTTTTCATCATTTAAGGCCTAACTTATTTAACTCCCCAATCCCCTCCGAGGCAGCAGTTCCTTTTCCAGAATTGTCTATTTTATGTACATATCTCTACACTGACATTTGAAAAAGGGTATTAGAGTTATAAGTTATTCTTTTTCACATCTGTCTTCATCTCTACAATGCAAGACTCATCTAGACCTGTTATAAATACATTGCTTATATATATATATATATATTTAATGAATGTTATTGATTATATTGTCATAAAAGGACATGTTATTTCCAGAAAATTAGGCTTCCTTATTGGAATAAAAGAGATTTTCTAAATAAAAATGAAATTTAAAACTTAAAAGTTAGCCTGACATTTAAGTTTCTGTACAGTCACAGCATACCCTTCTGTCACACGGCAGTCTTCACTCTAATAGATTATTTCCTCCTTCTAGTAATTTGATCTTCTTCCTCCCCTCTGAACTCCATGTTTCCGCATACTTGGTTATCTCTGGTTCATGTTATTCTCCTCATATGGAGATAAGGAGAAACCCATTGAAACCCCTGCAGTGCTTGAAATGACACACCAAACACCAGGTTGCTTATCAGCTGCCTGGCTCCTGAATCTAGACTCTATTTATCACCATTTGGAATTATTTTCCTTTAAAATAAAAGGAATTATTTTGTTTATTCTCCCAACTACAATTAGATTGTAAGCTCCCTCCAAACAAGGATCACATCTAAATCACACTTGCATAATATAGGGTTGATGGGGAAAAGAGAAAGAAAGATTAAAAATATGCAGAGAGCATGTATTCTATTTATATTCAGGACCCCTGTCAAATGAAGACTACACTTACATGCACACTAGAATCCAAGTATCTAAACCGACATTTGAGAATCTTCTCCGTCTCATCCTTTCCAAAACGAGCATCTCATTCTAAACTTCTTCATAATGTTGACACTTAACATTTTGAAAAAATGAAATAATAGAGCAGGAGCTGTCTATATTCATAAGCAAACACAAACATGACACTACATGCAGAAAGGGTACGGAAAAAGACAGTGAAGGGAAATGACAGTCTTTTCAAATGGTGTGCRGGAACAGTAGATACCCATAAGCAAAAGAATGAAATTAGTCTATATCTTACACCACACACAAAAATCAAGTCAAAATGAATTACAGACTTAAAAGTGAGATTTGAAACTATAAAATTCCTAGAAGAACACATAGAAGAAAAACTTCTTAACATTGGTCTTGGCAATGATCTCTTGTATATAACATGAAAGCATATGCAATGAAAGCAAAACTAAAAAAAAAATGGTACTTCATCTAACTTTGAAAATTATGAGTAGTAATGAAAACAATCAACCGAGGCAACATGGAGAGCAGAAGAAAACATTTACAAATCATATATGTGATAAAGGATTAATGTAAAAAATATATAATGTCACAACTCAATTGTAAAATAAATAAATAGCCCAAGGCAAATGTGGGCAAAGTGCTTAAGCAGACATTTCCCTAAAGATTAGATAGATAGATAATAGATAGAT